ATGTTTATGATATTACTGAGGTGGTCTACACATGAGGCACGATACTTTTTAAGCTTTTGAATTTTAAGGGATTTATGGCATAGCCAGTTAAAAGCTCAAGAATTACAAATTTTTAAGCTTTTTTTCAGTTTTCATTGGCTTGGATGATGTTTCGCGACACGAACAGTGCAGAAAGTGTTTGGATGGATGTATGATGCAGCTGGAGAAGATTTCAGGAATTTGGAAAAAGGTACTACTTTTTACCTCGCTTTCTCCTGTATTATCACCAGTTCGTTACAGTTTTGTTTGTTGTTGATTAAGTTATATCTGAGCACAATTCGGAGCCGTGTCGTTCCGTGTGTGAATCAAACGTCAAAGACAAAACTCATGTAAAAGGTGAAGACACTCGTAAGTAGCCTGAGTGGTAGCACATACCAACATAATTCATCAACTGGTAAGCTGTCGATGGCTTCTTCGATGGAGGATTGTTTACACGCAAGCTGATGGCAACTTCGACTCCCTAACACCAATTTACCGTCGAAACAAATGAACGAATCGTAGAGGGACTGGTTGTCGCACTGGCGGAGTCTCATCCTCTGAATGGTTGGATGGCTCTTTGTTGCTGCTTCGGCCTTCACAGGATGGCAGGACTCTTCAAAGCATAGCTACTTCCGGTTGTTCTCTCTTCGCCAGCTTGGGCATAAGTTTGCAAATGTGACATTTTGCACTCGTATAATTATAATGCGTGAATTTGTCATTTGGGAGAGCCTGTAGGATTATTTTTTGAGATAGATATGTGAAAACAGTTCAATATTTTTTCGTAATTTTAGGTTTTGTCGAAAACAGTATACGTGAAGTGTATGGGTGATATAATTTCGCATCTATTTACTGTGCTGATTAAGCTAGTTTTGTCCATGGAAGATATTCGTGCCAATGATGCGGAGCTCTGTGCTCTTGCGCTCAGCAAAGTTTTGAAAGAGTGCGAATTGTTGGTTGATGTAAGTGCTAAGCCTCTTCTGCGAATATTACCTGAAACTTATTTCATTATTTGCCGTGCTGCACACACTATTTGCTATTTTTTTGTAAAAAGTGGATTAGAAATTTGCATGAGGCTTGGCTTTATTAGCGATATGCTGCTACGAATTCTCATTTTAGCGGCAGGATTTGTATATGGCTTAATGGACCGAAACATTTCTTACCATTATAATAATCTCAAAAATTTTCTAATTCCCGTTCCTTACCTTCTTTTTTGATTCTTTGGCTTATATTTCATTTCTTGTTAACGTACTTTCCCATTTAAAATAATAGACCTTCTGACCGGGCGTTTATTGTGGCTGTACATACTATAAATCAGTTTTCTGGCATACAGTATTGGCAAAATTAACTTTTTCAGAGATCGGGGCATTCTCCTATCAATAAGAAAGTTGAGCTGGAATTTTGCCGCATGCACGAAGTGGTATTTTGCCTGGAAGCATCTTTACAGGTTTGTTTTGAACGCCCTCTTCACAGCTGATAGGCATATTTTGCCTGCCAAAATGTCCCCCTCTGATCGCGGATATGTTAAGGATATGCAAAATTTGCAGTGTGCTTGAATTAATGGTGATAGGATTAGTGTTAGTGACGGCTAGCGTTGCCCTTGCAGTCAAAAAATCCATCATAATTTGATTAGGCCTGTGAGACAGCTTAACCCCTCTCAGATTTGTTTTAACCAAGAATTTGGTATTTTGTGCATGCCAAAGAGTCAGAATCACTATCAATTTTTAAATAATCCTCGAAAATGAGGTTACTGGCATTTTCGCCAATGAGTGGTCGCTGTTGTCAAATACCACATAATCGCATCATTTCCAGTTGTTTCCATTTTTTACATAAAGTGGATTACGATAGCGGTTTTAATTTTCATTATCTTGATAATTCAGAACCGATCATTAATAAGCAGTGTTATTAACTAAGCCACTATACATTACCAGAACCAAACCCCGTCATTTGGCGATTTAAAAAGCACAAAAAAGGGAATCTACGGCGGAGAAGAAGTAGCAAGGATGACGATGAGATATGATGGTTATCCATGAAGGGACATATGGGATTGAGTGTTATCCATGAGGAGTTAAAAATACGATAGGAAGGCCACCAGCACGCTGGCGATTCTCCCTACGAATATGTAGAATTTTGTGGGTAAGACAAACACAAGATCGCAGTCGAAGCAAAAATTACCAGCTACATGCATGGTGACGATGCAGATTATGAAGTAAAAGCGCTTTCCAGGTATTCTAGGCTAATAATTTTCACTAAATTTGAGTAATTTCAGGGCATCTGTGATCGATGGTGCGACGGAAAGGGGCCTCTTTCTCAGTGGTTGACAGCAGTTGAAGTGCGTTACCTGGTGAAAGCTCTCTTTCAGAACACTGAAAAGCGAGCTTATTTATTGTCAAAGTTGCGATAATTGCATATCTGGGGAGGGGGTTTGCGTTGTAATATAACAGAGATCTCGTTGCCTTAGGAGCTTTCCACTGAAATATTGGTTTGGGTAAATCAGCCTTTTGTGTACACCTCTGCTGTTTTTTTTTTATTTCCGTTATAAATCGAAATCGAATAAACCAGTAATTTTTATTTGTTGTTCATGCGTCTGCGACAACGATGTTATCGTTTCTCGTATTTTCCACATGTTTTTTTAAA